ATAGGTAGACATGAGTTTAAAAGAGGCTAACAATTATTTGAAAACAAAAGCAATCCTCATGATTTCGGCCTTCGTTAAATAGATATTATTTTCGTTCAATCACTGTTACTAAAAAATTGATACCAGCAATCAGTTCTTTTGAAAAATTTGGCGTAAAAATTTTATGCAATAAGGAAACGAGTTATTTTACTAATTGCCAATAATAAACTTTCCAAACTCAAGAGAGTTTGGAAAGTTTATCATTTGCAAAAATGTAAAGAACTTGCATGGCGCCGAGAATTTCTATATTTCTATAAAATTTATGTTTAGTTACTCTTTTTGAAGTCCTCAGTGACCATTCATAATTCAAACAGCTCCATGGAATACCAATAATTTCATAAAATGTAAGTTTTACGAATGATTACCAGCGGCAGCTGAGGGTTAAAAACTCAGTCCATAGTCGAGGAATGATGGTAATTGTCCTACCATGGAGTTCCTTCATCCTGCATGATTGTAGACTAGGAGGGAAAGATTGCTGTTAAATTATACGCCCTGGAATTTTGTTCGCGTAGTAGCCTCTGTCCAGCCATGGCTCACGTAGTGCAACCGCGCCTCTACCTGAGCTTGCTGCTGTGACATCGCTGGTCATGCGAACCTGATGTGACAAGCTTATTTGACCGAGGTTCATATGACAAGCTTATTAGACCGAGGTCCATATGGCAAACTTATTTGACCGAGGTCCATATGACAAGCTTATTTGACCGAGGTCCATATGACATGACCGAGGACCATATGACAAGCTTATTTGACCGAGGTCCATATGACGAGCTTATTTGACCGAGGTTCATTTGATGTCAATGGATCAGTACTGTTGCTTTTATTCCAATCAATCAATTGGAATAAAAGCAATCGGTTGCATTCGGTTGCTTCTATTCCTAGAATATGGCGGAAATAAAAGACTATTATAAAAATTAGTGGAATACGCGCTGCAAATTATTAAATTATAATTTCCAAATGAATTTGAGTAAATTTAAACTGACAGTTGTTCTGCTAACATGGATGTTTACCCCAGCCAAATGAATAATCTCAATATAAATAGGTGGTGTAAAGACCACTCTCTATGGTGTTGATCTTTTAAGTTAAATTCATCGTGACGATGTTCAGTCTTCAGTTGGGAAGGATGATAAATCACAAATATCAGTAGGGAAATGTTGAGCTTCATAAACTTTTCGATTAATCATCATAGTTATGGGAGACTCAATTAGAATAACTTTGCAGTGGTGCAATAACTTTGGAGGATCCAGCAGCAGACGTCAGGAAAGACGACATATAGCGACAAAAAACTGCATCCTCAAGGAACCACTCCGAAAGTTTGTTCCTAGAGGATGTGGGACCGTCGCAGCAACTTTGTTCTGTGCTTCTCTATGTTGATATGAATATTAAGAAGACGGAGCAATCGACTGGAAATATGCTGCCAGGAAATGGACCTGATGTTTCCAGCAACGAAGTCCCCCACAGGAATTTTTCCTGCCGATTTGTTTGGTTCAAATTTGTTACGAGGATTTTCTCACTTCGACGTATTTATCCTTTTTTTCAGGATTTGTGTCGCATGGGATAGTAAAACGTGAATAATTATGAAGCGGAAGCATCCAGTATAGTCATCGCTCCAGGTATTTTTTATTTGTTTTAGCATTATTTGAATCTATAACCACTAAAATTTCCGAATTTGGAAGCCTTTTTACCTCCTAATGCTAGGCAAACCAGTTGAATGCAGATTTTGCCTGCGAATTGTCCGAGACGTGAACAAAATTGCGTTTGGATGGTCTCACCCCATAGGGCAAATTCACTTCTTAATCAATCAATACATGTATATCTTTTCCATTTAAGCCGTCGAAACTGGCATACACAACTCAAAATTTGTTACCATCTCTTGATATGTGTCAACGCTTACTGAGAACATCCGAGATTACTTTTCAGCTCGTACATTAAGTATGAATTTCATCGCTGAAAACTTAATTCCAATGTTACTTCCCGATTGCCATCCAAGGTTGAGGCAATTTGCTGGTGTTAAAGGCAGTAGGAAACGCGGAGAAGAGCAACGTGCCGTCTCGCCTGATTTAGCGGTTGTCTCTTAAAATTGATCCGTTCGCACGGCAACCACGAATTTACGTGCAGGCGATATAAGCTCTACGACGGTGTGCTGATGCCCATTATATGTAACAGATAGCGGTTCTGGTCAGTGACCTACCATAAAGAGCATTATGATACATATACTGAGATTATCGTACATTCAATACTATGCAACGTTTCCAGAGTAAGAATTCCCTGACAAGTAGAAATATTGTAGGGTAACATGGGGCAGCGAGCCCACTGCGGGTCACGGGCCCATAGCGGGTTTCTCGCTAAGTATGGCAGATATTGGTCCGTGTTCTCTACCGCCGGTCGACAGTTTCACTGGGATTAAGTGTACGGATTTACTTTTTGCTAAGTGTTTGCGTTATTAAGTTATTTGTGAATAATTGTTTTAGTCCAGATAAAAATTTTTTGCTGCTACATAAATTTTTTTTTCGATTACTGTAGATGAAGCTTTTGAAATTACTGTGAATTATATTTTCAAAGTAATATTTATAGGGATAATTTTGAGATCAAGTTTAGACTATTAGCTTTTAAAATAAAATGTTGACACGATATAAATAGAAATGATACCTAGTGGGGCAACGGGCCCCCGCGCATCACTTGGCAAAGCGCCCATGGTGAAGTCTTGTGTTATACATCATTAGATTTGTCTCAATGACCTTTTCAAACATGACTAGCTTTTTGAATTACAAATTATACTTCATATTGCATGATTTTTTTATTTGCCGCCTCTAGGCAGCAGGTTTAGTTTCTAGTTATGCGTATTTATGACCCCTTATCGAGTTATTGACACTTGCCTTGCCAAAAGTTGATTTCAGCCAACAACAATGAGCCAAAAGTTGATGAGTTTTTATGGTGTTGGCTGAAATCACGATTAGGTACGAATTCTCTGCAAATAATATCTGGATTATGGACGAAAGTGGAACGAAGTTTTTTCTGATCAACTAAATATATTTTTTCTAGTCAAGGATACATTTTTTCATGTCAAGGACAAATTTTTTATCGCAAGGATATATTTTTTAAGTCAAGGATATATATTTTTATGTCAATGAATTATTTTTCTTCACGTCAGTGATAGATTTTTCAAGCCAAGAGTATATTTTTTTCAAGTTAAGTATATGATTTTTTTGAGTTGTTAATAAATGAGTGAATGTCATATTTTTAATTACATTTTCTTATTTTTAACTGTAAAGTGTTGCTTTTTCATTTTTAAACAAAAAGTATACATTTGTGGTCAAGGGACCAAGGGTGGGCGCCTTGCCCCAAGCCCATGGGCCCATTGCCCCAGGGGTGGGGCAATGGGCCCATTTTTACACTTTTTACAAAATAGTGTTTCATTAAAAATTGCATAAACAAATAGGCGTCTAATTCACATCATACATTACTTCTTAGTTGTATCTTTAAACAAAACAAAGAACCACCTCGTATCAATTAAAACTTCATCAAAAATTTACTTTAAAAAAAGTGGGGGGCGCGCTGCCCCACGTTGCCCTATATGTATCGTCAAGGCAGCAAATCAAAACGCACTATGCACCAGCATAAAGTTATTTATTGCAGCCAATAGGCAGACATGAAACGACTAAATAGGGATGAACGACGAAGGAAGACATTTCACCTCCACTTACTGAAAGATTTCCGGGTGTTACGTCCTTTCAGTCATCGCTCGTGAATATCCAATCGAATCGATGATGTCCATGATGAGCCGCAACTCGTTACTGCCGCAAATTGCCTTGAGTATTTGAACCCCAGACAAACTCTGGATAACCCTAAAAACGTTTTTTTTCATTCGGAAATATGCAAACTTGCTACTAACCACGTTTCAACGCAATCTGAAACTCCTACCATTACTGTGCGCTAAAAATCAGAACAATTTCCGTCAATTTTTACTCGATGTAATTCCTAAGCCTTTAACGTAGTTGCATCACGCGGGGCGCTTTAACTTAGAATTGAAGGCAATCACGCTAATGTTTGACCTCAGTAAGAGCCGCCGTCCGACACGCACATCGCGTGAGTGATTGCAAAACTGCTCGCGTCTGATCGTCCCTGAGGGTTGGGAACGCTTGGCAAACTTGAGAGTTGTTGCGAGTCTCAATAATCGCAAGAAAGGAGGTTTATGCCAACGTTCAGGGCAAAATATGTGCGTTGGATACATGCTTCCAAATCAATCTATTTTATGAATTTTTAGTAAAAAAGGGACATCAACATACTATAAATTTGTTTAATGAATGAATCGCCCCTTTCAATTATGAAATCTGTTATCTGTTAACATCGAAGAGTTCATCAGGCATTAAGTCTCCCAGAAATTTCTTGATTTTGCATGCCGCCTAAAATTTTTGTTCCTGAGTTTAAAATTCAGTTTCGAAAATTGCTATTCCAACAATTTACGAATTCATACGTACGAAGAGACTTGCTACGGGTGCATTGTTTTATTCTTCGTAAAAATATGCACGAGATACCGAAAAGCCTGCGAGCAACTGCACAAATCTTAGATCAGTTGGGATCTATCAAAATGGAGAAAATCGAAAAAAAACTGCAGCCACAAAATTTTTTGATATATTTCAAATTGGATAAGGATTTTCCGAGGAACCTAAGACTCAAATTCTGCCAAATTTTGTTATAAATAAATGGAAATGTTGACAGTTGAAACAAATTTTAAATTTTAAAACAAAGTCTTCTACTGCAGCTTCGCGTAAAAGATTTGCCGCCAAAGTAAAGTCATCCTGGCAGGCTCCTCTCTGAATATAAATGCAATAAGTCAGGAAAAACTTAATTCCAGAAATTATAGTTTCGATTATTAATAATTCAAAAGTTGCCATGTTCCATCTCATTCTAACACGTCAACCGATTGATATTAGAAATAGCAAATGATTGATCAAAGGCTGCGTTAAATTTGTCTGCGTTTTTGGAATATTCTTCTCATAAAATTTAGTATTTTTTCCAGTTATTCGGAGACAAAATATATATCTTTGCATTCAAAGTTCCAATGCCTACATTTCCACACTTTCTGATAACTAAGATAATAAAAAAAGTGAAAACCTCAGCCATCAAAACTCCATCGAAATTATAAATATTTTTGTGCGCTTTGAAGCGGAATTTAGACTTAGGTAGCCGAGTCTGGATTGCTAACGGCTTCAACAACGTTTTCTAGAAAACTCGACTGATCGAGGACCTTGTCAACAAACTGCGATCTAACAATAACATCCTTGGATATGTGGATTGGTAAAAGCTTTCGAGTGACGTTGAACAAGGAAAACTGAGTTGGAAGTTTAGAGATAACAAATTGAAAACTCGTGCACAGAATAATATACTTGGACTCCTGGCACAGAGGAGGTAAATCTCCTTTTGTGTGTGCAGAAAATTAGAACTGACTAAATGAGCTTCACTAATGCAAGCAAAGAGAGCTTTATTGAAGCGCACTGCAAAATGAGTTTCAGTAGTGCAAGAAAAATGAATCTCATGAGCACGAGGCTGGATCTTAATGATGGGTGTCTCTTGTGCGATGGACGATATCACAGCGGCCGGTGCAGAAGAAAGTGTCTGGGAAGTGAGCCTGTCAGACTATCCCTAAAAAAATACAGTCAAGCGTCATCGCCTTTCAATTATAGTAAAACGAAGTTTCTTCTATTTACATCGTTACTTCTGTTCCTGCACTTCACGGATTTTGGTGAGTAACATACATTACGTGTTTTCTTTTCTTTATGTAAATTCCTAGGAAAAACGCCACATTACCGAAATTTGTAGATACAGTGGGGGGAAATAAATATTCGTACACTTGAAAAATCGTATTTTAATGTATATTGTTAGTTCTTTACCTTTAGCCATTTTTGAGACCTTCTTGTACTACGGGCAGTTGCAGAATGATCTGGTAGTTGAAAAATGCGTTAACTATGGTTACTGATTACATTACTGGAACGTGCTACATGTTTCTAGTACATTCTGGAATGTTCTGGTGTGAAATATTAGTCAAAAGTTGTTTTGTACGAATACTTTTTTGACCCGAAGAAATTAACATGTTGCATTAATTTTTGTTGCATTGAGATTTAATTTCTATTGATGCTATTTTTGAATACAATGCGCCTCTATACATAATATAAATCACTTCTCCTGTTCAGTTTGTGTACTTACATACATTAAAATACGATTTTTCAAGTGTACGAATATTTATTTCCCCCCACTGTAATAATTTCAAGATTCCATATTTTCAAAAATATTTTTTGAATTATATTGCGTTTTTCTGTTGATGAATTAACAGTTACTGAAATGAAGAAAAAATCTTTTTAAATAGCGAAAAAAATAGTATTATAACGACACTGCGGTCACTTTGAGTGAGTTGTTGCCCGGTGGTTTATCTAACTTATCTGACATATAGAAGTTTTTGCTTTTTAAAGTTAGTGCGGTCGTGGCTGCCTTTCATCGAACCAAGAACATTATACAGACTTTTGGTGCAGCTTCCCCCAACACTCTCGCTCGATCTCAACTTTCGTAGCCTCCGGGCGTCACGGAAAAAATTGCGGAAAAAGATTGCCCGTCAGCTTAGAACGAGCTCAGCGTTTCACCGCTCGCTATTTTCCGTAAATTTGAGCTTGTTTCATCGAGTGAATTGGACCGCATAAATGAAGATATCTTGAGTCACCAAGAACATGCTTAGATATCCAACTGAGACACACACATAATATTTGGTCTATATTGAATTTTTCAATCAGTAACTATTTAGAAATTAAAATTAATTACTTTTCCCTTTTGAATGATGATTTGTAAACAATTTTTTCTATAAAGTTAAACAATTAAGAAGAACAAACAGCTAAATGTTAGTAAAATAAGTTTTTGTTGTTTTTCTGGCAGTAAATTCCCCACTTAGCCTAACCATATTCAACATGCATGTGGTTTGATTTTGACGTCGACGGTTTAAGATGGCAGACATGGCTTGTAAAATAATCCTTGAATGATCTAAAGCTTGGAATAAATTGGATATTTTTCGAGCTCTCAGTGACAATAAAAGTATCCTAAGAAACCTCTCAGAAACGCGGAGCGGCTGGAACCGGACGAGTGGTTTAATTTAGAGTCGAAGTTCAGCAATCAATTGAATCAAACCTCGAACCCAAAACATAACAGTCGAACAGAGAGATGGCAAAACATGTAAAAGCCGCAAATTAAGTACAATTTGAAGGGCGCAAATTGAGACTTCCTCATCATTTGTTATGTCACACTGAAGTTCATTCGGGACGCAGGTGAAGTTTTTGTATGTAATTTAGAAATCAATTGTGCATGTTCCTAAATAATATCGTGGTTCCAGGATGGAGCAGGATGGCTCCATTTAATGTAATGCTCAGGTTGTAAGAATACAAGTACAAACATGCTACGATGAGCTGATGAGCTAAACTTATATTCTGACGTCGGATGATATAGAAAATGGAGTCGCCGTGGATAATTAGGGCATAGCGAGAATAATCATGATTAGCGTTGCTTGTATTGATTATCAGATTCTGACAATACCAAAAAATAAAGAAGCATCGAAAAATTGGAGCTTGTCTAGGAAAAGGAGTTTCTCGTGATCCAAAAAGTCATTTTCTCTTGCAAATGCAGCCTGCAAAACCTTGCAGCTGGACTGAGATGCAGAAGTTCTGTGGAGCCTAGGATTGGTTTTCGATGCTGTCGATGCTCGAGAGTTTGTTGATATCGAAGATCTCGCAGAGGTACAGCTAGCTAATCAGCCTTGCTGTCGTTCTGTCATTGTCAAGAAGCCCAAGATGATGAAGAGAACATAAGAAATGTATTAGGATATGTCTCTGCAATATGCTCACTGTCTTGATGTAGTTCTATCACATTAAATAAAAATTGTATAGGTTTAAACTGTATCTTATATTTGTTATCTTTATTTATCTCGATTTTCTCAATCTTATGAAACCAATTTGTTTTAAGTTGAATTAATATAAAGCAAAATAACTTTTGGAACAGATACTGCTCTTATTCTTCATTCTTTATTCACACAGGAGCACACAAAAAAGTAATACACAACATGCAAGAGACCATCGAAAATTCGGAGAAAAAAATACAAAATGCTTCCTTGTGAATGTCTATATAAGCTAAAAGGCTTCACAGGTGACTCAGGCGATATTACTCTCAATACTCTCAATAGAACAATAACATGTAATGATAATGAGATAGTCAATAGGGAACAGGAAGTGCCTAAATTGAAAACATCCTGATAAACTAACCTTTTATAAAACTGATATATAATAAGCAGCATGGCGACTAAAAAATGAATATAACAAAGGAAATAAAAACCCTATCTAAAAGACAGATAGGGTTGTTATTGCCTTTCAAGTCAACGAAAAGTCAAAACCATGTTGACTTACACCATAATATTTATTAAAAATCTCATTAAGAAAGGCAATTGCTAACATCTTACATGATAATCAAAGTCAAATTATTACTGGGTAAGAATAAAATCGCGGAATTTAGTCTTTAAAACGATTTTAGAACAATATATTTTAAACTCATCAGGCAATTCATTAAAATATTTTACACAATTAAAAACTGTACTGTTTCTTTCAAAAACTGTCCTGTTTCAAACTGTACTGTTTCTTTCTTAAATGAAGTGTGATCATGAATGAAGTGCCGCCCGAATCAGTTTCCAAATTTGCCACTCAAATTATTAATTTTTATGAATATAATTATTATTTTTTATTATTATTATTATTATTGTTATTATTATTATTATTGAAATTATTAGAAAAATATTTATTGACATTATTATTATAATTTATTGCAGAATTATTGATTATTATTAATTAAACTGAAAAATGCAATATTATCATTTAAGTTATTGAATTAATAAAATTATTGAACATTTTCCCCAAATTATTGAATAAAAATAACGATTGAAAAAATGTTATAAAATATTTCTTATAAATTTAAATACTCATGCTTTTTTCTGATTGCCTTATCTCATTTATTTTTGACTATCGCAAATTACAGGAAAATAATTATTATTTCATCATACATTATCAGTACTGGCTTATAACTAAATTCAATAGATTTTAATCTCTGACTTCTAATTTCGTGCAGAGGTCATGCAAGATGACAGATATTCATCTCTTCTGGAAAAGTAGAAACTTGGAATCTGCGCATTGCAGTCCAATCTCCGCCGTGAAACTAATTAATAGTTGAAAGCTAATTTATAAAAGATGGTCGCAGAGCTTTGTAAGATTGAAAAATGTTGAACAAGGCTCGTAAATATTAAATAGTGATAAGGCTTCAAAATTTACACTTTTGTTTGCGATGCGTCCGCATGGTAATCCATTTCAAGGCCCAAGTATCATTTCGAAATGCACAAATAAAATAGACTCAATATCGTTACCAACTCGGAATTGAACTTGGATAAGCACACAACTCCTGCAAAACAAGATCGTTCCTGACTCCAGCCCCGCTAGGTTTAATTAGTTCAACCTGGCAACACGGCCACAAAAATTTTCCGAGGATCATTTTCTCGTTGGCGACTTTGCAAAAAAATGACACAGCAGTTGATTTCCTACGAATCCTGTTTCTGGAGAGGAAATGGATCGTGGTCACGGCCAGTTATTTTATATGGACAATTATAGTGGATCCCGCTAAAAGCATATGTAATATTATAGTAGATTCCATTCGAGTCATATGTGGGAAAGAGGATAGTGTATAGAAAAATATCCACGAAATTCTTGGCCAGTCAAAAAATTTTTTTTCGGTTGAATGTGGTATTTTTTCAGACACAAATTCCGAATATAAATACCGATAATTGTGTTAAAACAATACTAAATTCAGAGAATTCACTCTAAAATCCATAAAATTTAAAATTTGCATGCTAAATAACACATTTAAAACTATCGTTTTTATACAATTTTCTACAAGCAATTTTATAAAATTATTATGATTCTCGTATTTTCTTTATTACAAAAAAAAAATCTAAACCTTTCAACGAGCCACAAATCAACAAAATTGAATACAATTTCAGCATAAATGCTGAAGTGCTTATAATCATTCCAAAGTCTAAAAGTTGCTTAGCGTCGATCACGAATGGAGTAAAAAATCTAAATTTCGGTGCGCAAATCTATATTTCTGATTAAGCTCATGATTAATTTTTTACACATGACTCATCAATAAGAAATTCTTACACGGTACTGCTAATTTATATTCTATTTTCATCGTTTTTACTCTATTTTAAATACCCTATTCACTTTTCTTATAGACATTTATTTCCGCAGTCACAGCTAGTGACAAAATAAGCTTTTCATTACAGGTGCCTGCTACATCCGCCAATTTCTATTCTATTTTCATCGTTTTTTATTCTATTGTAATACTCCATTCACTTTTCTTATAAACATTTTTTGCACATTCACAGCTAGTGACATAATAAGCCCTTCATGACAGGTGCCTGCTACATCCACGAGGGCGACACGCGCATCTATAAGGAGCGACACCGGGCGCTATCGCCGCCACAGCCTGCGCTCGCGCCGCAGTTCGACGCTTCGAGCTCCGGCAACGTCACGGCCCTGGCAGACAAAACTGCGCTGCTTAACTGCCGAGTTCACAATGCAGAAAATCTGTCGGTATGTCGAATTGAATAATGCACGGCTGATATATGTTCTGTTTATTAAGCAGAAGCCAGATAGAGATGAATCATCGGGTTACATTTAGATGTGTTGTTCCTAAAGTTTACATCTGGTCAATGAGTAAAATCGCATAATAAAGAATGCATTAAATAATTATTTTGAATGAGCCGCTATAAATGAATCTCCACAATACATGTAACTGTAACTCTGTGAGCTAAAGTTGCATATTTTACAATTTATTAAGTAGGATGTAATTTGTTCTCAATTCTACATATAATTCGCTACTTCATTCAATATTCACGCCTAACATAATTGATCCAATATAATTAACTATAAAATATTGAATACATTATTCAAATCCTGCTAGTAAACAGCCTGTTATCACATTATGGACGGAACAGAACATACGCCAACAGATTACTTCCCCGTGAGTTAAGCATTAATCCCAAAACTCGGAAATACTCAGTATGAATTACTTGGTGAATTGTAAAAGTGCTACAAAATTTAAAAATTCATGCGACTTTCAAGACATCCCCTTACAATTGAAATTTTCCGGCTATGAACTTCAGAAAATAATCTAAAGTAGAAAAGAAATTTCTGAGAAAGGGAGAGATTTTTGCAGTAGCGATGCACTCGAGCTCGGCGTTCCTGTTCATGAAACCCTAAAGGCTCCGGTATTGTGAGGCAAAGATCTATTTATGCTCAGAACCAAGCACATTTTTTAAATTTTACCCCAGCCTCAAGTGACGAAAATGATTTCAATGTATTCCACAGCGGCGGCCGAGCCGACACTTGGGAATTGAAAAGAGGTTTCGAGAGAGAAACTCAACTGAGTTGTGCCGTCAAGACGTCTGCGTGGCAATGGTCTGCGAATAAGTCCAGTTGATTTTAGGCCCAAACTAAACGCTTTTGAAACGCGCGCATGAGAGCAACTCCATTGGGAGGCAAAAGTGTTCTTTACAGCCTTCGCTCGACAGCTGCGTGAATAATAACTCTGGCTACAACGAGCTGAGAATGCGCACAGCGACTGGAAAATGTTTGCTTCAAGCAGCCTGCGATAATCATTTTTAGAGGTGGAGGCTAGCGATTTAAATGGTTCCACAAAATTATACAAATTTTGATGACGCAACGTGAAAAGCGCATTAGTGAAGAATCATTGAAAACTCTAATTAATTCATCCTTTCTCTTCCAGTCATTAGACAATATTTTTAAAGTAGTCTCGTCATTTGTTCTAGTGGCAAGGCATTTGTTGATCGAGAGAAGTTTTAGATTCACCGATTAATTTACTCCCAAATGTAACTTGACTGAAATATTGTAATAATTTCAGAAAATCTACACAATTTACTACACAGCAAGTCATCGTCATTTGTGAAACTCTGGACTTGAATATATTTTGCACTAAACCCATCATAATTTGAGGCACAAATTCTCAGAAAAGTGTTCGCATTAAAAAAATTGAAAAACCATTCAGTAAGGCACAGTGTCTAGGAATGCATCGGCAATTTTCTCCCATCTTGAAAAAATTTGGAATGAATTTATTAATTTATTTTAAATACGATCATGTGATTGGATTTGCGCAGGTATCTTGGATACGGCATAGAGACATCCACCTGCTCACGGTAGGACAGTACACCTACACCTCTGACCAGCGCTTCCGCGTTGTGCATGAGCGCGACTCCGACGACTGGATCCTCAAAATCTCCTACGTTCAGGTAGTTGGATAGCCACGTGCGTGGCACATAAACGGGACTTGGATCAGTTTAGATTACTATATTTAAATTTCATAGCAGAAGTAGTTCATAGCAAGAGTATTTCATCGCAGTGAATGTCCGTTCTACAAATAATTTCTCAAGAAATCCATTTGTATATAAGTAAGCCTATGATATGTATATATCCCCCATCCAAGTACCCTTTTCATGATTAGGATTCATGTAAATTCCTTTGTTTTTCCATAAACCAGCACTCCTAAAAATGTTCATGGAAATGTCAGAGACATAAAATTGTTACTCGAGTTCACTAGAACGCTGACGAGCTAATTACCCTGAAGTGAGTACACATAATTTTGGTCAAGTCATCCCATCCCATTGAAGTTCTCATTTGAGCCGCTTATACTATCGAGAATTTGAAATTCGGACTCGGTGATTGCAGGCACGATTATAATTTCTCCTGCGTAAATGAACTAATTCGATTATTGAAATAATTAATCAGGGCACTGGTGGAGTAATGACGGAAGACTTTGAAGAGTGATGAGAGGGCGATGTTCCGTGCAGTCAAAATTTTGCCAAGAGGTCAAAGTGTTACTGAAATTTTATCGGATATCTGAGGACGATCCGTAGGTGATTAAAGGATCGTCCCAAAATAAGGCCACCTTTAAATCGTTTCATCAAGCTGTTCCTCCTGCATATGGGGAGAGGCGTTTGCAATTGCTGAAAAAAATTATAAATGTCAAACAATATAAACGAGTCATAGTATCTGAAACTTTGATTTTCAAATTGATATATTGCAACTTAAGTTAATGTTCCATGGCTAACGTTCATTAAGCTAAAAGTGACAGTAAAATTTATTGTTGGAATTCATAATTTATTTAATTACATTTGTTTTTTTTTGTTGCGGCAGTAATGTAAACAAGCAGTACATCTACCTTTTAGGTTCAGAAATTCCCATTCCCAGAGTTACATAAAATAAAAATTAGTTAGATGGTTACGACTTCAAATGCTCCGGAACAGGAACTTTGTCCGCATCTGCAAGGATGCTTAGCTGGCTAGCTGTTCAGAACTGGAAAGCGAACTTTCGAGTTCCGGAATTGTGCTTGTTTTTCCAGCAGACAAATAAGCAGAATTGGGGGAACCTCTAATGCATGTGGATGTATATTTCAAATGTTTGTGTTCTATATTAAAAATTGAACATTGGAATTGCTCGCACCTCGGTTGAGATTCGTCGGCATGTACCACGACTTTCCGCACCAAACTCACTCCGAATTGAATTTAGGCTGGCAGACTAATTTTTGCATAGAAATCTATTCCTATCTCATGAGATACTTGGCACTATTACTATCAATTTAATTATTCTATTCGGTTGAATATTATTGTATTTGAATGTATGAATTTCATTTGATTGCATAATCGCTTCTAAGAGTCCGCAATATTTTAGGCTAATATTATCTATTCAACGAACTTCAACCATGAAAAAAAATTTGATTATCAAATGTATTGCCCTCAGTGCACATAGTTCAGAATATCATGTGTCTATCGCGCTGGCGGTGCGCATCGACGTAGGCACACAGCTAGGGAAGTACACTTTGCACGTTTACTATCAATTTAATTACTCTATTCGGTTTTATATTATTGTATTTTAATGTGTGGATTGCGCTAGAAATCCACATGTGTGGATTGCGCTAGAGACGCGCATATCTATGTAGGCGCACAGCTAGGGAAGTGCACAGCCAGGAAAGCGATCAACGATGCGGTACGCGACACAAGATGCACACTGCACAGCGATGCTGGTGCCCGGCGATGAAGCACACTGCATCTGCCGCCCACGATTGAGTCGGCATGCCTAGCGGGAACTGTGCCTATATATAAGGCAGCAGATGTCGGCCTGCGCACGAGCTGTGCTTTGTGGTCGTCGAGAATTAGTCCGGCCCAACAGTGGTGGTCAGAAAGACTAGCGTGAATACATTTCATAGATGTATCAGAATAAATCTCAAAGAAAAACAGGAATTTGGCGTATCTCGACTTTGAAATAAGTCATAAGTTTAGATCCAAGTATCTTCACGTAGTCCAGACGCCACACAAATGCAGGAGTGCAGGCACGCTACGGTCAAGTTCAGCCAATTTTTGCTCAAAACTACCAATGAAAAGAGAACTCGATTTTCGTCTCAATTCGGTAATGCCACGAAATAACCAGTGGCAGTGGGAGTCAATCTTACAGTTGAATCAAAACAAAAAATCTGTTATTTTAAATTTCTCAAAAATATTTTCTTTTCATTAAAATCCACCGCTAGGCTAATTTTTAATCAATAAATAATTATTGTAAATAATTACTCTAAGAATGGTAACCTTTACCCTCATTTATTTTGTGGACATTGAAAAATTCAATCTTATTATTCTCTAAGGTGAATTAGATAGTCCGGGGGTTAATTAAAAACTCAACACTGAATTAAAAAATTAAAATTAAAAATAACCTTGAATTGCTCTGAGTGTCTGCAACGCGGGGTCAGTACTTTCGAGAGACATTGTCTGGTTGATATAAAAATTTAAGTTTTTCAAGCGAGCTTAAATAATTTCTCATTGAAGGCTAATTTCTGTATTTACCTTAATTTCAGCCCCGAGATTCAGGCGTGTATGAGTGCCAAGTCTCCACCACTCCGCCTACGTCGCACTTCATTGGACTCAACGTTGTCGGTGAGATAACAGTTCCAGAACCTTTCATTTCATCTTAACATTTGAGGAACTCTCTGAAATCTAGCCATTGCAATGCAATCCTAATTATTTATGCGTTAAATTATTTTTGGGTCATAAGTCTGTGTAGGTATTTGAAGTTTACTGACCAATATACCCTTTAGCAACCACGATTAATCATATGATCATCTTTGTTAAGGCTTGCTAATATTTTAGTTTGAGTTGCATGATTGGTGTGGCTTTTTTATTTGTGGAGAATTTTTTCTGAATAATCAGACAGATCCGTACCTAATCTTATGTTCTAGTAAACCTTGGCCTATGACTTTTCCTTAGTTGCCTGTGAAAATATTATCAATTAGAGTGACATTCAACTCTAATGGTACTGCACTGAACTGACCGCTATTATAAATGCATGAATTATTGTTCGAAAAATTATTTATTAAATCCTGAGAACTCGTCGATTCCGTCTTCCTTATTTTCTGGGATTTATAAGCCTTCCTTTTAGATATTTTTCAGAATTAATATAAGCGAGCTTCCTTCGATGCTGCATAGTATGTTGAGAGAATAGGAAATAAAGATTTATTTTCTTCCTATTTTCCATCGTCTAATGACTGCATCATTGCTTTAATGGCTGATTTTCTTGCGATTTTTTTCTATGATTTTGGCTTCCAATAAGAGACTTTCCAATACTTGCGCCTCTCTAAATTATCCATAGTAAATCATGGGGTTTTATTTTTATTTATCTTCTACGAATCTAAGAGTTTTCAATCTCTAATTTAGATAAATTTACTTATTCAAATTTATTTATCGTCTAAGAATCACCATATATCCATCAAACCCGTGTCAGTGATTGGGAGAATCATGTAAATTAAGAATCATCAGCACACGAGTGTCACCTTTTTTGCACCAAACTCCCCTTTCGATACCAAACGGAGTCATCGTGAAATTTAGATGAACAATGGTTAAACTAACCAAGACAGCCTCCTTTGTTATGGGTTCTTCCTCAATGACTTGAATCGTCACATTTGATCGTTGAATGTTTCTAGGAGCTTCTTTATTGTCCATTGTATATTAGTCTTTCACATTAAAACATTGTTGGTTAGCTATGCATTCATTGTTTGCCATTGAAAACTAGTTCTTGACCGTGAATCTTTTGTCGTTCAGAGCCACAGACAAAAATTTTGGGAGGCCCGGACCTGCATATCAACAAAGGATCAACCATCAACCTAACGTGCGTGATTCAGTTCTCTCCAGAGCCGCCTGACTTCATCATCTGGAACCACAATGGCAAGGTGAAGCTCACTGAAATTTGTTCACAATATAATGGCCATTTATTTCGCGCGTGAAACAATAGCACGCAGCCAGAAATATGACATTATTAATGCTGTAAAGGTCACAATTTTGTTATGAGAGAAAATATTTTTTATGTGGAATGAAACTGAAATATTGGGCTTTTATCATTTCAAACATTTAAATTTCGAATTAATCTATTACGACATGTGTCCTCTTGAGCGGTTAACATATTATAATTGCCATCTGTAGCAGACATTTGGAATCATTTGACGCTTTGCGAAATGAATGCTAATTTATGCGAGTTTATTCAGTCATTCAATTAATAACCAGATTTGCATTTTATACCTGTGGTTCTGCCTCCAGAAATAAAAACAATTAACTTCAATGTTTGCAACAATTTTGAAGTGTACGATAATAATTCATTTTATTTTAGTTTCCTGAAATCTACATAATGACGGTAACATTGACAAATATTTTGAGTTTGTTCATGACCCGAGTTTGTTCCGACAGTAGAGCAACGTCTGAGATTAGTCATAGCTCATGAATTATTGTATTTCTCATTTCATTTAATGTAAATCCATAAAAATATGCATGTTTTCATACACAGAACATGAGCTATAATAGCCGTCGCTCAAATTCCATTCGAGTTAATTCACTTCTCTAACTTGCACTTCCTAAGCCTGTTAGCTAGATTTTATCCAAACGCGAATAATAAGTTCATAATTAAAGCCCGCTTACGATCGTAATATTCTGAATAAAGTGAACGATCTATATGAAAAAACAGCACGTGTGCTGGAAGAACTTCATTATAATAGCTTTTCATCATCATCCTCCATTCATACGGCATCCGTGCAACATCCTAATGTTTATTTTATCAATACGTCATTAGCAAGACAAAATCTTTAACTTCTTCCTCGTCTATCAACGACTATTTCTGAAGGTTATTTTTTGCCGTTTCTGTCCCAGAGAGAAAATGTGTGTCAATAACAATGCATTCCCTGAAAGATTAATGACACCTACTCGATCTCTTACCTGTTTTTGTCAATCTAAGAGAAATAGTAATTGCATTTTCTTGAATAAATCTTCTCTCACCTGTCGATGTTGGATTTCTTTTTGGCTCGGATAATGTCTTTAGTTTTCCTGAGAGGCGAAATATACGGTAGGTGCGAAAAGTATCCGACACAAAGGAAAAACTTCATACTTTTTAAACCTTAACTTCTACAAGCTTACATAATTTTATTATCAAGTCAACATCTAATGATATTGTTGTTTTTATATGATATTTGTATTTCCCTTGTAAGTTTACAATAAAATAGTGTTTCTTTATGTTATTTTGTTAAATAAGCTTTATTAAATGAAGTTTTTCCTCTGTGTCGGATACTTTTTGCACCCACTATAACACAACGCGATAAAAGTGCCTTGACGTTCTCAACGGGTTTCGGCCTATTTCTTCAAACTCATATAATAATACATTTTATAGCAAAATTCCGATTTCTGTAGCACATCTCCGTGACTGTAAGTATTTCCTCTCATATGCACAGATCATCGGTTACGACTCGCCGCGAGGAGGCGTGACAGTCATCATAGAGAAGGGAGACGAGACTGTTTGCACTCTGCTCATCCAGCGAGCGCGAGACACCGACTCTGGTCGATATGACTGTCAGCCTTCCAACGCTGCGCCTGCCAAGACAACCGTACATGTCCTAAACGGTCAGATTGATATGTTTGCGTATCAACTATAATATTTACAAGAGTTTTGGACTACCGTGCATGTCCTAAACGGTCAGATTGATATGTTTGTGTATCAACTATCATATTTACAAGAGTTTTGGACTACCGTGCATGTCCTAAACGGTCAGATTGATATGTTTGTGTATCAACTATCATATTTACAAGGGTTTTGGACTACCGTGCATGTCCTAAACGGTCAGATTAATATGTTTGTATATCAACTATCATATTTACAAGGGTTTTGGACTAACGTGCATGTCCAAACGGTCAGATTGATATGTTTGCGTATCAACTATCATATTTACAAGGGTTTTGGACTACCGTGCATGTCCTAAACGGTCAGATTGATATGTTTGCGTATCAACTATCATATTTACAAGAGTTTTGGACTACCGTGCATGTCCTAAACGGTCAAATTGATATGTTTGTGTATCAACTATCATATTTACAAGGGGTTTTGCTTATCTCGAAATGGCATGCATGTCTCAGAGGGACCTTGAATCTCATTCACCAACATTTCCGTTTTGTTTTTCCGCCAGATTGTTCCTATAAAGTGATTGAATATGGTGAGCATCACCTTTAGGTTTATATGGGTTATCAATAAACAGAAATTGTGATGCAGAAGCAATTACTGTGATGCTTTGTGCCTGAAATTAAAATTGAAATCGTAGATATTGATAAAATTGAGGTTGTTGGATTTAAACATTGAAAATTGCTACAAATTTATCAGTGATCCTGCTCCTTGTAGGTATAATGCAGTACCAACATAAAACAATCGTGCGAATCACGTTATTTTTTGTAGTAACCGCGCTCGAAAATTTGCAGTACCGAATGCAATGCACCACAAAGTCATGTTTTGTCTGAATAAGAGTAACCTTATCAAGAACCTTCATCTTGGCTCGACCAACAACCCATTAAATTCGTGCTCTTCTACTTAGAGGACTTGATAAGTCACGGCAACGGCGTTGCTACAGCCCACCTCGTTAATTAACATACCTCGTAGTGAAAGAGCAGTAATCACCTCTACGTCTGCACGCGACAGTGCAATTAATAATAACATTTTCTGTGCTTCACCAAATATATGATCTCTGGCCACGCGATACGGTCTACATATAAGACTCATTAGCGTACAATTAGAAGCTATTTTTGTCTTTGAAGAAAATACTTGGGGAACTTTGCAATTAAAAGTTTAACAGAAACTCATACGTTTCTAATGTACTGTTTCCAAGAAACACGACCTTCCAGATGCCAAATGTTCAAACCTTAAAAAAAACACGGTGTATGACCTTTTAATGGAACATCTTAGTTTATTTGTTCACCTTAAATTTTCAGCAGCAAAAGCGTAGTGACAATTGGATGCCTGTGGTATAAATTCCTCAGTTGTTGGTCAATTGGGTCGAGGCATATCGTTTGAATATAAGAAAGGCACATTGAGGTAGATGCCTCTCAATTCCACTCATTCACCCTATCAGCTCGAATCTATTTCCTGATTCCATCATGATGTTCTGAGACCTCTTATTATTTTAATCGGGCACAGTATTTAGAGCGAATATTTTTTCTGGTTATTTATCGGCGAAATACGAAATGTACTTCGGTATTGCCACAGCGGGCATGAATGAGCATTGAGTTCTTCAGAAAATTTAATAGTAGAGAATGAGAAGAAGTTGAGTAGAGTGAGAATTTTGGATAACCCACTGGTGACCCATGCAGACCTGGGCTAACTCGATAAGGAGGATTGCTTCCAGTTTGTATTCAATGCCTATTTGCTGCAGCTTAATAACTGGCGAGCCCTCTGCTGCCAGTGTTTCACTATAGGACTGCTGGGGCATGCATGGTGTTACATGCAGTTCTTCAATCCCGCGAACGACAGTTCTCACTCTTGACGTATATTAAGAATGGATTAGGACTCGCTAACAACAACATGAGAAGAAAGTGAAAGTCTTAATTAATGAAAGACCAATTCTTTCATGTCATTTCTAAAATATAACTGACTATTGGATGAATTTGAAGTAGAGTGAGTCAAAACACGAGGATCATTTGTTGAGTTGAATACTCGTATATTACGAAAAGCTTAACTCATGTAAAAAAATGCTATCCTCTCTCTCCAGTTTACTGAGATTTCTAAGGTTGGAGATAAAAAATGCGCAGGTTGCTTAATATATTATAGCAATTTTTTTACGAACAATGCCTCTGTGCTTCACACAGGTTTTGATGAAGAGACGTCCATTAAGTCATAAAAACGCGTTTTGTAAAATAAATACAGTACATTGACTTCCAAATCATCGATCCCAAATGGTAATAACGGTATAGTTGACATCAAATTGTAAGATACGTCCTCAATATATACTCCCATGCATGTTATATGCTACTGTATATACCATAATCTGATTAGTGAACGTCTTTATCAGCAGCTCAACATTATACTTTTAAGAGGTGGTTAAATGGTTACGCATCAAACTGGCCAAGCTTTAGGGTGAATGTTTATGCAACTTATAAGAAGCAGTTTTAGAATAGAAGGCCTTTAATTCTTTTTTCGCCTCGTTCGCAGGCGATTTTCGCCACAGCGATGATCATAAATAAAGCATTTCGGCACTTATTCTATGTCGAAATTTGACATTTGCCCATACAATGGCTTTGCTTGTTTAGTTGTTGAACTTATGACAAATTGAGGGTATTCGTTTTACATTGCAATGATCAAGTACGATTACGCCTAACTTAGACAACGCGCGCCTAAAATGATTACGTGTAGAGGAAGAAAATGTTTCTCTAAAACTAGATTAGTTCTGTTTTTCAGTGAATCAAGTCAAGCGTAGATGTGCCATTTATTCTGGATAAAAACTGTAATTAATATTTTCATTTTTGTCAATGGCGCTCAACAATGGGTTTCTAAAGGTGGAGTGATCATGATCCAAAATTAAATTATTCGACCAACTTTCAGTCATAGAAATGAAGTTTTTTGTTGTCCCTGAATTTTGTCCTAAATAATTATTACGAGAATTATTTGAAGACTTTAAATTATAATCGTAACAATTTCTGTGTGATTCGACTTTCTAGAATTTATCAATGTGACTTCACTCCAACTTGGAGGCTATTAAACGTACTCCTGTGAACCTATTGAAGCTGATTACACTTGCTGTCATTTAAAAAAAAATTCCTAGCGACTTCGAGCAATCCTCTTTCTGGAGCTCATGATGCGCTTACCATCTCTAGACACAGTTTGGAATTTAAATTTATTAATTATGTTAAATAAAATATATGGGGAGTCATACATTAATAATTGGCAGAAATTAATCTTCAATTTGAACAGTTACCGAAAAATTAAATGAGATAGTTTCTGCAGATGACATTTTCTGTGAAATTTACCCAAAATAATAAAGAAGCTATTTAATATAAAATATCAGCGTTAATGTTGAAGCTTAGTCTATGTTTGGCTTGCCGTCGGATTGTAAACGCCTAAATATTTTAACAACCAACTGAGAGTATCGAAACAATAACTCATTGATCAAATCTTTTTGACCTCAATTCCTCAGCCACTCTACAAATGACTTTATAACTACCAGTGTGAAATCTTGGGATACCTTTGATGATAACATCATTCAGAGTAATTAGGATCATAGTTAAAATAAGGGACATTGAATAAAAACGATCCTTAATTTATATTTTCGGTCGGACACATGCGAAACATTTTTGAAATTAATGCAATTAGTGATAAACACTATATGATATGACATATTGTCGTTTAAGTGGCAATAAAGAATAATAATATAATTCATCATTATTAATAGCAATAATTAATATTATTTACTAATGATCATCAAAGAATATAACCGAGATATCGTACAAACATTATAGAGTACATCTCTCGTCTACTCTCAAGAAACCCTTCGAAAAACCCGAACGCAAAAGAGCAGGAAAATTAAGAACCATGCAAAGAACTGCAGGAACTTCATTTACGCTGTTGCTCCATCTCAAACAATAGAACTTTTTGCGGACAATGCCCGGGTAAAGCGACCATCGTCCCATTATTCTCATTACCACAGCGCGAAATACCATTGCCAGATAGCGTAGCTTTGTTCCAGTTCTCCCTCTACTGAAAATCGCATGAGTTAATCAAATAGCTGCTGGATAACAGATGACCAGGTTACAATATCCGTAGGGTGTTATGAAACTTGTATATTATTCGCCCGTCACGAGGGAATATCTTTAAAAATCATACACACGGGATCCCATGCTGTTATATGGTCGCAAGTTGGCCGCCGATGACCAGCTCTTAATTTCAAGCAGAGCTTCGTTGCGTGCGGACGGGCAGTTAGAGCTTCGTCTGGAATAATGAGAACAGCGACAGCACTCCCAGGCTTCATTTCTGACCAAACTGCTCCATTAGACATGTCGATTGCGGCGACTAGCGCACCAGCCCGCGGTGTTCTGCTTGATTCGGAGATAAGGAATCGCTGCAAGTTCGCTTCCACTGCCAATGCAGCGTGCAGGGCTCTGCTGGATGCTTGTCTCTCACTCGGCTTCTCTGTGCTACAAGATTCATGGCCGCGCTGTCTGGTCTGAGCGATTGGTGACGAGCCCGACTGCGTGTCTGTGCTGCCTGCTTTCATGTCTGTTTATACGAAGCACACATATTGTTCTGACTCGGCGAATGCGGTGCAAGCTAGGCTTATCGAGGTTTTTCTAATCGTAGGTGGAAAGTACATTAGGTAGGGTAGAATTATTATAAACCATTTTGGAGGAAGAGATCACAATTAATGTTAAACTTTGATCGCTACCATTTTCCACCTACATTGAATGAATTCTGTAAATTCAGATACAAGAATTTCACAATGCTCGTTTGTGAAACAAATGGATTGGTTGAGGCTACATTAGTTACTGATGCATAAAATAATTTTCAATTTATATTTCATCTTACACACCTGTATTTTTAACATATTTCTCTAATTTTCTGTTACAGAACAGCCGGCGGCTATCCAACATGGCGGCCAGGCGAACTACAGAAGTTCTTCCTGCAAAACGCTTTTGTCACTTCTTTTTTTCCTGGCGGCTCATCAACGGCTCCTCAAATTCGGGGAGTGAGAGTCCTCGCGAAGCGACACCTCGCCGTTTTTTTAGCACTTTTATAAACGAGCTAAATGGGACTGCGTAATGCGTATAGAGAGCATTGCACAAGGACGAATTCTGCAGAAAACGACGGACTCTTGGAAACGAGGTTTCGTCTTGGTGGATATGGTATTTCCCCGCCCCAGGAGGACTAAGACCTGAGTATTTATTCTGCCTGTACGTTATTTCATCAATCAAATGAAGATTTGATCACCTATGAAATTTTAAACCAAAATTTGCTTTTTAAATTTTTGCACATTATTTCGAGATTTGGCTTTTTGAAGAAAGAGTGGCTGATTCTAAGTGCATCAAAGTTATTATCACCTGATGTGCACCATTGTTAAGTAATTGTCTAATGTACAAAATCGTACCTGTCTGCACAGCTGGAATGATTTTCTTTCGAAAATAATTTACGCACTACAATAAAACAAATGATGTTGGCACTTATTTATTTCGCCAAGGATCTGATGGGAAAACTGTTAAAGCTTATATCGTTGATCATAATTAAAATATAGATAGGAATTTTTGAAGCCTATTTTCAATCGAATTTCAGGTGAAGATTTCGATAAAACGTTGTTGCAAGAGAAGTGATATGCAAATACCTAGCATATAAGCATCGGGCTGACCGAGTTATTGATCTTAAAAAAATGTATTTCTATTTTTACTCACTGATCAATATGGTGCAAGAATAATAATTGTGAGCATGTTAAAAATTAACGGTGAATCCCCATTAACAAGGAACTTTATGTGTTTTTTCCTACCGAATTAGAACCTACATCATATTGGTCTTACACGTCCTCGAGTAATTGCAATTTAATTTGTTCGGATGAAGGCCAATTGCCCATTCCTTAAGAGTTAATTCCAATGAGTCTTATTTTCCGATGTGTGTGAATACACATACATAGATATCGAAAACTCAAATGGTTCTACGATTACACTCAGCAAAGTGACTAGGTTATATTGTCCATCAAACATTGTTTCACTATTGGCACACACACAATGCACATATTGTCAATTGGCACATACTGTATTGTCAAACACACTTTCCAACTCACAGCATGAGCAGACAGCGGATGTTGCACCGATATGTCCTTTTGTCGGGCGAAGCTGGGTCTGGGTGTCTCACAACAGCGCTAATGGCGCATCACCATTAGGACAATGTTTCGCATTGTTCTGAGTGTATTCTTGTTTGTTTTTCTCTAATTTTCTTTCTCCAGATCATAATAACGGGAAACTTAGAACCTGCTTCTTTAGCAACTTTAATTTCCAGCACAAACACAACACAATTTGTGCGGGGGACAAGGCATTTAGCTAGAGTAAGCAAAGACATTCGCTAACTCTTTAATTTTTCCCTCTCTTTTGGCATATCTTGATAACGATCAGCCTCACAAGCCACAGCCTTCTCATGCAGCAACATAGACACCTGACCCGATGCTTTACTTAGCATCACGAAGAAGGAACGTGATGGGAGTCGAAGGAGACGATGGCGTAACGTTTGAAAATAAATTACTATTTACTACTAATTGGCGCAACGTTTGACCACGGTAAATAATCACTCAGTAGGAACAATTACAATTATAATGAGACTAGTGATGGCAACGTATGAACTAACAAACTCTCACTTTACACGTTCTTAATGCGTTCGTACATCAGTTCTCACTTTAAAACACATTTAGTTTATGTACTCATTTGAATCACTCGTTGGTCCTCCGACACTGCACAAGGGAGTGCCCGACGCTGTGCCACCGCTCGTTGGGAGCGAAGCTTGAGATTACATCTGTTGTGCGGCAGCTCTCACTTGATTAACAGTGCAGGAGCAAATGTCGGCATAGGAACACTCATAATCAACCGTAGGCCAGACTGCCGCGTAGGCTTCGTTAAGCAGAGAAACTTTACCTCAATAATGAGCACCATCGTAACTACGCAATGGTTAATGTTAACACGTAATGGTTAACCTTTCATCGGGCAAGCGTCATACATGGTAAGAATAAGATCGGTCATAAGTGAAGTATGAGTACTCATAATATTCATAACAGTACTAGTGGATAAATTAGACGATTTTTTGAATTTATTACGCAAGAAATACATTTTGCAACAAAAATTTATTCATCAAGGTTTGGAATGGAATTCTGCGATAACAACTAAGCCACCATTATTGGGCAGAAAACAGCGCACTGTAAGGTGATGATCAGCAACATTAAGACTTTGTGGAATATTATCGATATACTGAATGATGTCTCATTTTGTTCTTGAACCGTGAGAGGTAATGTCGATCATTGACTCAGTACCAGTAGACCTGAATAAATCTAAATTGAGGATAATTTCATAATTTTTTTTCATATCGTATTGTGTTATCTCACGAAAAATAATCAAAGGTTCATTCAATACGCACACCCGAAAGGCTATTTTGAATTGTCTCCAGCTTATCCCCGTACATTTATGTACTAACGTAATCTTTCAGGAATTGACTATGAACAATTAATAAGTCCTGCGCGTACATGACTGTTCCCGTACACCACGACTCAAGCGCAGTCGGGTCTAGTTTTGAGGAACGAGGAAATGAATTATCGACAATTTTTGAATTATCGTATTATCGACAATTTTTAAATTATCGAATTATCGACATAGTCAGATCGATTTGTATCAATGAAAAATTGTAAATATGAGAAAACAACTGTATTTTAAAGGTATTCCATTATCATTGGATCTGAATTAACCCCACATGTACAAATCCCTGAGATTAGCTACAAATTATATTGTAAATATCTACATCATTATATCAAATGAGCTGCGAAATTATTTTCAATCATGTATATAGATGTTTTGAAGGAGTCACTTGAACGATTTCGATGTATCGACTTTCAACTTGAAGCGATGAGAGACCAAAAATATTTATTTAAAATTATCACTCAGGTTTCATATGTCAGTTCTGCAGTAGTTGTAATTTAGCATAGTATATGTTTTATACCCTATCAATAATCGACCTCAAAAGACTTCTGTACATAGACTCCACTTGTATCAAAGATGAAGATGTGTGTTGGGGACTTGGCAATTCAGTAATTTCCGGAAAATCAGGGAATCTAACAATAGATTCTACGCTGTTTTGAAATTTCTAAAAAAAATAATGCAAATATTGTATAAAATAACTTTTTTCAAGAAATGAGCGGCCAACATCTTAATTTATTAGACGGCTGAGAAAATATTAATGTACTTCTTTCTAAAAAAAATGTTGTAAAATTTGAAGACGTTCCCTCTCATCAAATGGTAATCTCGATTTTTTTTATCCATTGACTGCGTGCTGGTCCCTGTAGTATATTTGCCTCTACTTGATTGCTGTAACATTGCTTTGTTCATAATAAACTATAAGACAACGTGATTTGGTTTTGGCTACCCATTTTAACCGGACACCGCCATAAACAAATCGGCTTTTTAGCGCATTTTCTCATTTATGGAAAAAATTCACTATTGTGCTCGCCATGTCCGTCTGTCTGTCCGTCCGTCTGTCCGTGACCTCAAGTTTTCGTCGACGAGAAAATGCGCTCTCTGTCACTCACTGCTGTGGGTACTAAGTTATATTTTTTTAGATAGATCAACTGGAATTTTAAATTGTGTATCGCCAATACAAGGAACGTAATCGCATGATGCTGGTAAATTATACACCACCCTAACCCAAACAATGGGTACGCTAGTCATGGCTTCCTCCCCGACAACATATATAATTCAAAGAGTGCTCAATATTTCCTGACCTGTGGATAACACCCGCCGGGTTTGTGATTATAATCATGGTGCAGCTGCTTCAATACCATGTAAGTTTGTATGAATACTGTACATCATGGCCGTCATGAGGGATTAACTGATAATGATAACGACTGTGACGCGATGACTGTGCGTGAAGAGGAAATTCGGTTGTATAGACGAGCGAAAGCAAAGAGAGAAGCAAAATGCGAAAGAGAACTAAAGACTATATTTGATTTAGGACCCAAGATGGTCCACGAGGTTTATTGCTGTAATTGACCCCACATTACTGAATGCACATTAATTTTAGGAAGACCATGAAGAACAGCATTTGAAACAAGTTCTTCGACAGGACCCGGCCTTATAGGTCGCACCTCTGGCGTACCACTTGAGGTGCTAATCCATGAGTTGTAAGCGTAAGCCGTAAATCTCTCGCGCTGAACTCCCTCTAGCTGATCCTTGTAAACATTTGCCGCGGCCTAGGACGTCCAGCGCCAACACCGCAGTTACAAAGTGGCCCGGACAGGCTTGCATCGAATTTAACATGAGTATAGAAGAGGTCAATCAATGATCAGAAGTGGCCGGTAAATTTATTGAGTGAATAATTTAAACTAATCATCATAATTACCTGATGAAAATTCTTAAACATACGACTCGGGATATGCTCTGAGAAGTGAAATAGTCTACGCGAGGAAGAATTCGTTGCCAGCAGTGTTCAACCAGCTGATGTCGTGTGAAAACCTACTGAAGGTGCGAATCAATAAGTCATATTTTCCGTGCATTCGTGCCAAGTCCGAATAATCAATAAAGCTAAATTAGTTTTATTGGCGTTAAAATTAACTTTTTATTTCTCATCACTTATGTTTTAACCTCTTATGTATTATAAGTAGCAGTGAATTTACTGTCGTCATGACAGAGCTAAACCAGATTTTTCAGGTACTACGTACGTTATTTTAGGGGTAAAAGGTATAGTCATAGAAAAATAAATTCTCGAAATCACTATATAATGACAAATTTGTAATGTGGCTAAATTGAATTTTTGTAAATTATATGAAATATAATTATCTGGAACTGGTATAACCTCACATCATGAACATTCATTCATATAGAGAACTACAAATAGTGCTTTACATAAAATTTAAATAGTTTGAGTGACAACACAGCTTAAGCTTAATCTGGCCTAGGTGGTTGGTAAGGTAGTTGAAATATCACTTAGAAACATGATTAAACAATATCCAGGTTTACCTAACTTCCTCCAATGACCCCCACAGTATTTCCTGCAAACTTTATAATGCATGGTCCAAAATACCGGGAATTATGAACACTGCGGTCAACGGATCACACCTCTCTTTACGGAGACACACCGAGTCCTTCGTACCTCGTAAGAGCAAGGACCACTTCAGTTGGTCTTGCCGAAGCTGGTGATTTCGGTCAAAGCATAATAATTGGCTGTTTGGTTCCATTGGTTCCAATTGGTTCCATTTCGTATGGTGGAGGCAGACTGCAACAATTAAATTCACCACGAAAGTGAAAGTTTTTCGGGGGTGAAGCAAGTTTTTCAGAGTATCAGCGTATTTTACTCATGCATATATTCACATTCTTTTCATTCACAATACAAATTGTAAAATTGGTGTTGACAAAATGAATAGCTGCATACAATATTCATACGAGCAGGTAGTTCATCATTCATACTATTTATAAATGCTTCATTTACAAAAAAATTAAACTGCGAAAATTAAACTGATGATCCGGTTGTAGCGGTGACGGTTGTAGATACAAGACTTGTTCACTCCGATGCAGTCCTCGATCTCAGCCGCAATTCGCAGCTGAGAAACGCAGGCCTGATGGTTCAATCCTCCTCGGCTTGCCACATTGCCACTTCTGAACGCGTTGTATTGCCATTGAATCCTGTTGTTCTAAAACTTTGGGGCCTAACAATTATCATCCGCCGGCAAACGGTTTATTGCCACATCTCGGCCTCATATCGCCAAAGTCATAGCCTTTGCACGCAGACACCAAATGCAACACTTCCTAATAATTCATCAGAAATATACCGCTTGACAGAAAAATACAAATCGGTGCTATGGAGTCGATGGTATCGAAGTTATCTCATGGGAAATGTAGGTATCCCATTCTCTGGTAAATGATATTCTGATTATTTTATTATTATTATCATTATCATTATTATTATTATTATTATTATTATTATTATTATTTTTATTATTATTATTATTATTATCATTATTATTATTATTATTATATTCTCTGCTGCTTTCGACATCGACTTAGACGGCTACATAGTATTAATCCCTTCGATGGCTCACTGATGAAAGTTTTCAAAATAATGCAATGAAAAACACACCCTCAGTTTTTCAGGAACCGTTAATTTCGTCCAACATGATTTCAGTATATTCGTTTACGTTGCTATCAGTGGTATTTCTTCACCTCCTCAGTCCGAACAAAAAGTTTCAGATTTGCCGAGTTCTCATGTGTCTTCCTGTTGATAATTACTGTCAGTGGGTGACGCAGGATATTAGTAGTAAGTAGTAAGAAGGGATTTCTAATCAAGAGTTGATTAACTGTTTGCTCTAAGATCATTTCGTAGAGAGGCATAATACGAAATTTTGATACCATAATTAATCAATGAAGAAGTGTTTCTGCAGTAGGTAGTAAGCGTTATATTTGTTGACAGAAGAAGTGTGTTTTAATTGAGATAATATCATGAGTCTGGCGCATTTTGAAATAGTTTCTTGCATTAATGAAAATTCCATAGCTTAGCCTATTCAGAAAAAGAGTGAACACAAATTTATTTTGTCTATTTGTGGATCTGACCCATTCATATTAGGCTAAAACGAGATCACCCTGTAAACTGCATTGTAGAGATGATTCTTCAATTGAAATTAAAAGAATATTGGATTTTTTGTAACAACTTTTAAACTTTGAAAGATAGCAATCGTGATTCTGTTCCAGATTATGATGAAAATCATAATCTGGATGATTATTATAATCATAATGATGATAATCATAATCATAGTCACAGAAAACTATCGTCTACAATAAAATTGCAGCAAGTGGCAATACTAATGCAAATCCAACCATCAAATTTCAAATAAGCAACTTTTGACATCTTACTTTGACAGGAACGAGACTAAGCATGATTCAGCACAACGAGTACAATTATATTGTTTGAGGATACACCATCCAATATCCATTACTTTAAACAAATAAAACAATTGATGCAATGAGCGGCAATTATAGGCCGCTGGGGCATGCAAATACACTGACATAAAAGGAGATAAACTTGCTTTCACCAGCGCGATTCTTTTCAGCTTCAGCCTTTAGGCTGCACTCGACTAAAAACTAATGAGCCTCTCGAACGCTTGGCTTTCCGAAAATTTCCTGCCGATTGGTTTCTTAACATTCTTTCCTTTTTAGACTTGTGCAATAATTTGCAGATTCTGTCGTTTCAAGTTACGAAACGCGTTTTCAATATCGCGCCTACAAAAGCTTAATTGAGGAACATTCTAAATCTGAAAAACATGGTGTTGCTGTAAGCTAAAGTATTGTATTGCAAATCAGGATGCATAAAAATGCAGAATTCGGTTTTTTATATGCGAAATTTTGGGAAATAGTAATGCAATTAGCACGAACGACATAGATAGAAGTTATTAAATACATTTTGCCTTTTTTTAAATCCTAACGGAGGAAATGTAAGTTTGACATCTGGGCATCCTCATTTTTCAGTATGTATTGAATGCTTCATTTACTATCAAAAAGGAATGCAGTGTTTCTACAAGATATTTCATTTACAATTGAATGGAAGGTGATGAAAAGTTAAAAGAAAATAATTTATAAGAATTAACCACTTCGAAAAAGAATGCAAAACAGAGCGTACACTTAATTTTGGCGCACCAAAATGAATTATTCCTAGGACATTCACTGTTGGTAAAGTTTTCCATTCAACGAAAATACTGCCTCGATTACATAACTGCCTCGTTTTCCCGCCGCCTCATTCGTCGAATACGAGCTCAACATCCCCGCGACAGGGACTTCTCCCCTTTTACCCCAGACATGATGAAGCTTGCCATTGCAGCTGCCAACAACTCTTCCGCTCGGGTCCTGATGGCTTCACGGTGCTTCATCTAAAGCACCTCGGCCCGCGTGGCCTCCAGTTCCTCACTCAAATTTTCAACATCTCTGTTTCCACAGCCTCAATCCCATCCATTTGGAAAAATTCAATAATTATTCCAATTCTCAAACCGGGCAAACCCGGAAACCAGGGCTCCTCATACCGCCCTATCTCCCTCCTCTGCCCGGCTGCCAAGATTCTTGAGCGCCTGGTTCTACCATACATCTTGGGATCTCTCACCACCGTCCCCTCGCAACACGGTTTCAAGCCGGGACATTCCACTGTCACCGCCCTCCTTCCGCTCGCACACCAGATCGCGACGGGTTTCAACTCCCGGCGCCCTCCAGCCCGCACAATCGCCGCTGCCGTCGACCTCTCGAAGGCCTTCGACCTCGTCGACCACCCCCTCCTTCTGAGCATGATCGCGGCCTCGGACCTACATCATAACCTGGTCTGATGGCTGTGCTGCTGCTACCTTAGAGGTAGGCTGGCGTCCTGCCTCTATCTCA